CCCCAAAACCCCAAAACCCCAAAACCCCAAAACCCCAAAACCCCTTCTATTTTCAAATGTTGAATAAACTACGGTTATAAAATAATTAAAAATTTAAGCATTATGACCGAGGCTAACTCTAGGAGTTATTATTTCAAGTTTAGAGCACATACTGCTGACGATGTTCAAGCCAGACAAAGCCATATTAATGTACTTTCTTGATCTTTTTGAATATATTTTAATCAACATTGTTGTTATGATTCTGAAAATTTCATGGAGATTATCAGAAGATAGAATTAGGTTACTACATGTTCATTTTTAGCTCCACAATTTTATATGAAATATAGAATGATGAGACTTCAAATCAAAATCCTAGTAAGGGACTTCTTACTCCTGCCTTTATCCCTGTAATCGAGTAAGTAGAATTCAACTAGCAAAATTTTCTAAAGCACAAGTCTTAGATATACCCAAACAAAGTATTGCTATAACTTTCGCATCATAGCCCACTCAAAACCCCACCTGACTGACCCAACTTCTCTTCCTTCCAGCCAGAGAGCAAGATTAAAATCTCAGAAATGTACAGAGACGAGGATAATTTAGGACTGGGGCGGAAATAAAGGGATTTGTGCGAGGCTCGTTGTTCCCAAATTCAGCCAGAAGAGGTAAGGAGGGAGTTAGGGTAACTTTTATGTTGGGTTATAGAGGGTGTGGAGGATAGGTTTAATTGGTGTAGCATTCATTCTTATGGCCTCTTTAGTCATGAAAGAGATTAAGAGGAGGATGCTAAGATATAGACGATAAATATTTAGTACTAAGATGAGGTTGTCTATGGATATTTCTCTGCTAACCTCTTCTTTTCTTCAACCTATCCTAACTTTGAATAAATTAGTCTTCACAGAATGTACAATGAAAGTTTTGAGTTGAATTCTTCAGAGAATATGCACAAAGAGTTCAATCCTCATAACTACTTCGCTCTCAAGTACCAAGAAATCAAGAAGTAAGAGTGAATAGCTCAGTTTAGGAATTTTAAGAATTTGGACTTCAAGCTTAAGCGGAGGAACAATAGACTGGGCTTGGGTAATATTAGAGCACCTGAAGAGGGAATGACAAGAGATTTTAATAAAAAATTAGGGCATCGGAAACAATTTTTGGACCAAAATGGGCACATGAGTGTCAGGAATAGCTTGGCGCAGAGGAAGACACAGGGAAGTAATATGAGGAGGATCATGCACAGAGATCAGTCAGATATGCCCTCTCGAGATTTTTATAAGTATACTGTATCTAGATCGAAGAAACAAGGTAGTTTTTGGAACAAAGCTCAAAAGTACGAATGGTTTCTTCTTATAATTTTTCAGAAATTTGTGAAACTGATATAGACAAAACATTCTCCCTAAAGTTTCAGTTGATAAAACTAGTGAAGACCAGAAAGAGCCAAAGGAGGATTTCAGGAACATTAAAAATACTCTTGATAAACATCACAGAAATTATAAAGGATCAAATAAGGCCTCATATTTGGGAAGAAAATTTAATAACCTGGAAAAACGACTAGGACATCTCTTAACCAATCCTGGGCTTAACTCAAGTTTTGAGCCAAAGGACAGTAAATAGTATTGTCTCTTTGAATACAGACAAAAAGAAGGATAAAGCTAAGGATGACGGTAAGTTCTGAGAGATTATTAGCGTTTAACTTACTTAAAGGGATTTATTCCAGAAATAAGGCACCGATTCAGAGGCTTAACACCTTATCAAATTCAAAGAAAGGTACATCAAAGATCAAGCGTAAAGTGAGGTTCAACAAGAACGAAAATTATAAGTTGTTAGAATCTGATGATTTTGAGAAGTAATATTCATGCATGAATTCATAGGGTCTCTAATCAGAAAATCTCCATCCTTAAGAACACAAAGTCTGAGGTGTCAACAGGAAATTTCTTCAAACCTCATGAAAGTAAAGCTTCCAAGATTGAGCAAGTTCGTGTACCTTGAATGAATACTGACCTCAAGAATTTGTTCAATTATCCGATTAAAAGAAGGGGTTTTGGGGTTTTGGGGTTTTGGGGTTTTGGGGTTTTGGGG